ATAAAAGCAAGTTGATTTAATATATGCAGATTCATTTCATTATTCAAACTATCGTAAAAAGGTCAATTAAAGTATTATTAAAGTAGTATTATTATTATTCATTATTATAGTATTATTTGACCACTGTTATTATTATTATTATTATCTTTTTTTATTATTATTATCATTACTACTATTTTGTTTGTAATTTTTTGCTGTTTTATTGGGTTTTTTATGTAATGGGTCTAGACATATTATAGTCTTATATTTAATAATTTGAAATAATTATAAATAATTGTAAAACATATATAATAATATAACGTTACCTAGCTAGGCTAGACTAAACCAATTATTAATACCATAATCTATCGATTCATTCATTTGATTAATTAAACAATAGTTTTTCGAGTGGCAGTGCCGATAGAAAGCTGCAGTTTTGTTTTTTTGTTTTTTTTGGTTTTTTTTTGGTCCTGCGGTCCTAGAAAACAGGAGCTTTTTGGCACTGCCACAGTGTCGATGGAAAACAGCAGCTTTTTTTCGCACTGCGGCAGTGCCGATAGCCTCAGCCTTCGCCGAAAACATAAAGTCCCATTTGACCGAAACCTCGTTTGCCGAATCCAGTTTGCCGAATTTGAATTGAAAACCCAGTTTGCCGAATCCGAATTGAAAACCCAGTTTGCCGTATCCAGTTCACCGAAAACATAAAATCCCAGTTTGCCGAATCCCGGTTTGCCAAACTCAGATTGCCGAATTTTGAATTTTGTCGTCACCGTCGTACAAAAGCGCAGTACACACTACTATTTTGAACTAAAATGTAATAAACAGCAATTCTGTAGGCGAAACCGAATGTCAACTCATACTTAACACCAGAAAAAAATTTTTTTTAAATAGTAAAATTAGTTAAAGACCATCTAAAGGGCTTTCCTGTTGCTCACCATTTCAAATTAAAGAACCATACTATCAGTAACTTAGGCTAGAAGGGGTGCTGAGATCCGTTGGTTTTATGTCTAAGCGGTTGTACTAGGAATTATGAATCATATTGGGTAGGCCGAATATAAGAAGGAGGAGGGATACCCTTCCTGTATAGGCCGTGGTATTAGTCAGGTCGATCATAACCATACTATGGCTATGAAAAATGTCTAAGCAAGCGCCCTCTATGTGATACATTGAAGTAAACTTCGTGAAAAAAAAAACTTTTTAGCTAATTGATAAGAATTAAGGATAAAAAGTTTATTAGATATCTACTACAACTGAAATAAATCGGGTTACAAATAATGTAGAAGCTCACTGTTGGTCAGGTTTTTGACATCAATGTTGAACATAATGTTGGGACAGTGAAAAGAAACTTAATCTGAGCGGAGACGGCGGTATGGGAACAGGTGTTCAGAATTTTAGAAATATAAGAGGGTTGTTGGATTTGAGGAGCCTTAAAATACAATAAAAGGATTTTAAAAATAATACATTGGTGAATTGGCAGCCAGTGCAGGTTTTTTCAGGATGGGAGGGTTGTGGTGGCGCCTGGGAGTGAGGGTGCATTTGCAAACAGCAGAATTTTAGATTCGTTGTAAATTGAATAAATGGGAGGCCAAATAAAATGAATTACAATAAAATGAAGTTTCGAGGAAATAAAAGTATAAACAAGTGTTTCTGTTGAATTCGTGTTAAATAATAATAATAATAATAATAATAATAATAATATATTCATAAAAATATTTATGAAATTTCATAATCAATAGAATTTAAATAATATATATAAAATAATGACATTCCTTACATTAAATATAATAGGGTCCAATAACAGTAAATAATAGTAACAGTAAATATAATAATAACAGTAAATATAATTATAAGAGTAGATATTACAACCTTCAAGCGCATACAATTAACATTTCATATCATACAGACTTTCAAGCCTTTTATTAATATTAAACCCTGGCGCGAGCGGGAAAAGGGTGGCATCCCCTCTATTGGGCAAGCCTGTACCCTCCCGCGCCCCCGGCGCAACGACGAGGTCGTCAGTCGCGGTCCAAATATATAGTTTGCCTATCTATAACGTTAACTGCCAATCCCTAATATTGTGCCTAAAATCACAAATTTATAAAAAAAAACAAAAAAAACAAAAAAAAACACCTGTCTATCCTGCCTGATAAGTTCATGCCGGGACCCTGACCGAGGCTCTGTCGGCCCCTTGATTCGGATATTCTGTCGAACATGTCGGCCCCCATATCGGCAAAATTATTGGGGCACCACACGTGTGTATTATTTTAGATTATTATTGATTATTGATTTCCATAAGGTAAGTATATTTTTATTTTAATTGAACATTTATTGTAATTATGCTTATCGGACATTTTATCTGATTAATTTGATTTTTTTTGCTTATTGGAATAGAACAAAAAGAATCATTAAACTATGTCAACAAGCCACTATTTATTTTACGAAAATAGTGATAACATAGCGTTTTGGAATGGCTTTATTAATTTACTATAATTGTAATAATATCCATACGACTAGACATTTTTTTTCTCTTTTGTGGCGAACTACCACTTTTATTCAATAAAATCTTTATAATACATGTCAATAAATTAAACAT